GAAATTCCTACCCTGGGTTTTTACCTTTACAAGTATTTCAAAAAGGGGATTACTTAACTGAAATCTATAAATTTAACAGCAACTTTTCATTAGTTTCTGATAAGTTTATGTCACTTTAACAATCTAATAATCAGTAAAATTAGAATTTATTTCAACTTAATGGGTTGGCTCCCAACAGAAAATCCTCTCTTCATTTCATTGATTGTCCTCATTTGAACAAATGCGGGTTAGAAAATATACCCCAGTTTCTGCTTAAGATCAGTTGGTCTAGGTGTCCTGTGTTATGGTTCAAAATATTTTACCTGTTAAGCGAATGATTTCCCACAAACAGCCAGGAACTAAGTGAGTAATTTACATGGAGAATTGTTGGCCAGGAGACTGATTTTGAATAGTGTAATGGGATCTTTAACATCCACCTGAACAGATAGATGTTCAGGTTCAGATGTTCATCTGAGTGTCATGACCCAATTTAAGAATTACGTCTCTTTACTGTAGCATGAACATAGTACCTCCCTGGTACACATAACATATAACTGCATATTTGCCTTAATTTATCAAATGCATGTACTGTCCGGTGCAATTTGTCTCAAAATTATTGATTAGCACTCTGACCCATTTAAGATTGCCTTCTCTAAAGACCCTGAAGGTTTAGTCCCTAGGAATGTTAATAGTCCTGTCTGTCAGATAATCAGTCATCATGCATTGTTTTTAAGATAAGAACAATCCTAATGGAAGTCCTTCGATGCTTCTGATGACATTTGTCAACATCTGAAATGAAAGAAAATGGTCCCAGAAGAGACATGTACATAATCTTAAAATTAGATTTATGTCAGTTAAAAGTGAATTCAGAAAACGTTTCTTCTCACAATAGTATGTGAGACTGGAATGCATTGCCCCAGAAGGTCATAAATCCAAACAAACTAACGTCACTGGTATCAGTGTCAGGACATAGACATGGATTCAAAACTTGGCTGAAGGAAAGGGAAACAGAGGGTCATTCTGAGGGGAGCTAGGTCAAATGGTGGGAGGTATTAAGGAGGGTGCCTCAGGGGTCTGTGCTGGGTCTCCTTTTAGACATTAATGTCTTGGATTTGCAGACCCAATGTAAAGCAGTTACATTTGCAGATGACACCAATGGGGAGAAATTCCACCTTGGTTTAGATTTACTCAATGTAACATTTTAGAGTGCTGTTAATGGGACAAATTGTAAAATTCAGTTTTCACTTTGCAGTTGGTTTTCTTAAAATAAACTTACATGGACCAGCTTCAAAATTAAGGGTGTTTCTAAGAATTTGACAAATTCTGGATATCCTAAAATCTTAATAAAGCAAATCTAGATCTCGATAGAATTTCTCCTCACAAGCTGGGGAGAAACTATGGAATAAGGGGAAACACTAAAGGTCTTATAAAGAGACCTTGATGGAGTAAGCACATGAGCTGCTGATAATAATAATAATAATCCTTGCATTTGATATAGCGCCTTATCATGTCTTTGAGATGACTCAAAGAGTTTCACAGAATATACTGTCAAATGAATTGACTGTGAGTGCAATTCTGGCAAGTCTTGACTGGCAAATTAAGTTCAAAACAAGATGTTGGGCTACATCAGTTGAGTTCAGATCCCCAGAAGTCAATACGGACACTGTACAGTCCTGTGATTGGGCCAACCCTAGAGTACTGCAAACAGTTATGATTGCTGTGTCACGAGGAGGCTGCGCAAGCCCTAGAGGTAATGCAGAGGAGAGTAATGAGGATGATTCCCAGGGGTAGAGGAACAAACTATGAGCAACAACTAAACAAGCTATGCCTCTTCAGTTTTGAAAGGAGATATCTCACACAGGACCTTATAATGGTATATAAGACTTTAAATGGGATTAAGAAAATAAATCTATCTTTTAAGATGCACCAACAAGCGGGCATAGGTTTATGGTTGCAAGGGGTAATTTCAGGACAGATACCAGGAAATTATTCTCTTTGCACAGGTTAATTAACACGTAAAACAGATTACCAGGAGGGTGGTTCAGACAGGACACTGGACTTACTTAAAAACAAAAGGATGAGATCAAATGGGCAAAAGTGACTTCTTCATCCAAACCTTTCTTGTGATCTTGTGAATCATTTGAGGGCTTCAAGGGGGAAATAGATAGGGATTTGGGAAGCAAGGGTATTGAGTAGTATGGTGGAATAACAGGGAAATGAGATTAGAAAGTTGGAGAGCTGTCATAAACTAAGGCAATGGTGAATCAGGCTGAATGAGTTAAATGTTCCTAACCAGGGTGGAGCTAGGTAATGGGAAATACAGTCACCTCCATTTAGCTATTGCTTCTCTCTTCTCCCAGTCATGATTGTTGAGCACCTTTTCCTTTGCACAGTTTGGCAGCTTCTGTTGTACACACAGCCCAAACCATTCACTCTCTTTGCCTGTCATTATTCCTCAGATACTCCTGCCCTCATCTCTATTCTACCCACTCTGGATCACTCCACATCACTTTGTCCATTGTCTTCCCCAGCCACTCTTGCTCAAATCCCAATTTTCTGCTATGTTGGAGGCCTATAGCTCAGTGGTTAGAGCACTCGCCTCGCAAGCAAGAGACCTGGGTTTGATTTCGGGCAGGGCGAAACGTTGGGCAAGTTTCCTTATTCCACACACCTATGTTTAACGAGTTATTAGTCGATGGATGGAACATTTTTCCAGGGGTAATAACTTGTTCAAAAAAAAATAATAAATTGGTCACTTAATCCATGACTGTTTGTGTGTCACTGCTGTGCGCAATTGTCTGCCGTATTTCGTCCACAAAATATACAGTCAACTCACTTTACAGTATATTCTGTGAAGCGCTTTGAGATGTCTCGAAGATGTGATAAGGTGCCTCATCAAATGCAAGGATTATTATTATTATTATGATGCCCACTATCCCTCAGTCCTATCTTTTCTGTCACACCCCCAGCTTCTCAATGGTTTTTGATTGGTCCTGATGTAAACAAACAGCTGAGGGGCAATGCAGCCAGCACTGACAGATGGCCCATTAATTGTATTTTCACTTGCCCAGGCTCCATCTATTCAAACAAATGTGAACAGTGATGACAACAAGTATGCCCTTATTTACACTATTGTCTGCCATGCTCCCATTTGTTTGGGACTATTTCCTCTGGTGAGGACATCCAGAACGAGCGGGCATAATCTTAAAATTAGAGCTAGGCAAGTTAGGAGTGAAACCAGGAAGTGTTTTTTCACTCCAAATGTTGAGTCCTGTAGCTCAGTGGTTAGAGCACTCGCTTTGCAAGCGAGAGACCTGAGTTCAATTCCAGGCAGAGGGCGAAACCTTGGGCAAGTTTCCTTACTCCAAACGCCTTATAATAATCCCTCCAAAAAATCAAAACCAATAATAAATTGGTCATTTTCAATCTATGACTGTTTGTGGGACATTTCTGTGCGCAATTGGCTGCCGCGTTCGCCCACAAATATACAGTCAATTCACTTTACAGTGTGTTCTGTGAAGCGCTTTGGGACGTCCTCCCGACGTGAAAAGCACTATATCAAATGCAAGGATTATTATTATTATTATTATTATTTCTATCCCCAAAAGGTTGTGAATGCTGGGGCAATTGGAATTTTCAAGTCTGAGGTCGACAAATATTTGTTAGATAAGGCTATCAAGGATATAAAGAAAAGGCAGGCAACTGAAGTTGAGGTACAGATCAGCTAGGGACTAATAGAATGATGGAACAGACTTGAGGGGCTGAATGGCCTATTCCTGTTCCTATGTTCCTAAGGGAATGACAAATGGGGGAGGAGCTTGGTGGCAACCCTCTCTCTAATTTCTAAGACTGAATAAACTGTATACAAATTCTAACTTTGTGATGTTATTTCTCATTGAAGAGGCGGTCTCCATGGGAAGGGAGGTTCTGAAATTGTTAAAGTGATAAACACTGCAAACTCCCATGCTACACTATTAATTCTGATTGCCAAACTGACTGCTCATTAGGAGCAGGACTAAGACACAGAGGTTTTGGAACCAGAATAAGTGCATTTCAGCTGCAAAAGTACACATTATTATTGTGTGACAGACAAAAATGCAGTAAAAAATATCAAACAGAATGAGATTTGTGTAATAAGGAAAATCTACAAGAAACATACAAAAATGTTTAATCCAATCCTGAAAACAAATTCTACTGGATCTAAATTTAATAACAATAGTCTTTACAGTTGGTTTGCTGTGAGTGCCATTGGGCTGCTGTATTTGTCTACTGACATGAAAGGTGCTAAACCAAAGGCAAGAAAACCTATTATTATTTTTATTGTTATGACATTGAGAGGACATCAGAAAGCACTTCACAGGAGGTACTGTAAAGTGCAATAACTGTTTTGTGGGCAAATGTGGCAGCCAATTTGTGTACAGAAATGTCCCACAAAAAGCCATGGTGTGAATGACCAATTTTATTTGGGAGATTTGTTGGCGTGGAGATAATTTACTCTATTATGGTAGCATTTCATTGTGTGCAGAATTTGGCAAATTGTTGAATTTTGTCTTCATTTTGAAGTTCTTAAAAGAACTTACAGAAAAACAGCTTCAAAATTAAAGACTGCATTTAGGAATTTGAGAAATTCTGGACTCTCTGAAATGTTACATTATAATAATAATAATAATCCTTGCATTTGATATAGCGCTTTTCATGTCTTCTAGATGTCCCAAAGCGCTTCACAGAGTATACTGTAAAGTGAATTGACTGTATATTTGTGGGCAAACGCGGCAGCCAATTGCGCACAGCAATGTCCCATTAATACTGTAAACCTAGGCCCCGGTGGAATTTCCACCCATCTGCTTAGCTAGCGTTGCTCATACCCGTGCCATAGTATCTTTGTTAGTTGTGCTTCATGCTAACACAAGCTTCAATGAACTCAAAATTTCCTGCAAATGAATGTCTTCTCAGTCAAGATGATCTAATTAACTGTTCTGCACACTGCTCAAAGCAACAGACATCTGTGGCCCAATACTTACCGTAGTGTATTTTCCCAGCTGGCAGAGAGAGGGGAACGTTTCCTGATGAGCCTTGCAGATCTTTTCAATTAGATCCTCTAACTCTGCTGTCATCGTGTAGCTCTCTGAACATTCTTGCTTTGGTGCCTCCTTTTTCTTCTTGTTTCTGTCATTTCTTACAGCTAGAAGGGCAAAGAATGAAAATCAGGCACAGTTAAACCTGTTTAGTTCATAGTCTTCATTCTCTATAACAAAACAATTATATATGTAATTATAATAATAATCATTGCATTTGATAGTGCCTCATCATGTCGTTGAGACTCAATATACTCAATATATTATACAGTGGATTGACTGTATTTTGTGGGCAAAATGCGACAGCCAATTGTGCACAGCAATGTCCCACAAACAGTCATGGATTGAATGACCAAATGTTTTTTAAATTATTACCCTTCAAATTGGAACTATTGATCTAGTCAATCAATCAAGCAATCATTCAATCAATCAATCAAATCTCGCTTCACAATATGGAAGGTACAAGTAAACATCAAGAGGTATAAAGGAATATGGTGATAGGGTGCCTATTGGGATTAAAAGACTGCCAGATCCTAGAAACTGGTGGACTTGACAGGCTGACTAGCCTCCTCCTGTTACTGCTTTCCTATGTTCCTAAAGTTTCAGAGAAGCACTCCTCTCTCCTGCATAACTAAAGCCCAATGAAATAATTTATTTTACTGTATTTCACTGATAAACACAGATTTTTGTTGGTGAAAATCAATCAAATAAAAAACGTTACCCAAATTACATTTTTGACTCCAAATTAGGCGATTTTTCCAGCTTCTGGGATATATGCAGTTGGCTACAATCCTAGTCCTGGGAATACGCTCAGATGCCAAATACCAGAACTGGCTTTGGAGTGTATGGTGAATTTCGCAGTTAGAGATGGGAAGCGGATGTTCCAAAATAAATTGGGAGTTTTGAAAAAATTACCCTCTTTTCATGTTAAATTCCTTCCCCTGCCTGCTTCTCTCCCATTTTACCAGGCTTTTATTTTATGGGTAAAAAAAATTGACTTTAATAGTCCTCATGCATAAAACACTGGTGTACAAACCACTCAGAATCCAACAAAAGGAAACCCCTGTGCAGAATCGGGTAGAGTGTGGGACATGAATAATCACACTGATTTTTAAACAGTTTAGTGCAGAAGTCACATCGCTAAGGGTGATAACTTTACCAACAATAATACGATTTGCTCACCATCAAAGTCGGTAACTTTACTGATGATCGGAGAGCGGTAAGGAATTTGTATGAGCATCGAAGGAATATCTTCTATTTGTTTGCTAATCGCACAAAGCAATGTCCATCAAAGCTGCCACTGCATTACAGACATTGGTCCAACACTTACAATTATGCTTCTCAATCTCAGTAACCAGAATAAAATCAATATTCTACAGCAGATGAAACATTTGCTTTTAAAATCTTTTGTAAGCAATGAATGATAAATACAGTGAATAAGTAACCCTTGTATTTGCTATAATACCTTATCATATCATTGAGACATCTCAAAACACTTCACAGGATGTATTGTAAAGTGATTTTACTGTATATTTTGTGAGCAAAGGTGGTAGACAATCTGTGCACAGCAATGCCTCACAAACAGCCATGAAGTAAATGATCAGTTTTCTTTGCCAGATTGTTGGCCTGGACACCGGGAGAAACTCCCTTCTCTTTTTGAATGGTGCCCATTTAATGTCCACCTGAGCAGGCAGGCAGGACCTCAGTTTAACATCTCATCCGAAGAAGAATCATCAACATATCCTGCAAGGATTTACAGCAAAATATTCAGCTCAGCATCGGTGCTGGCAAGTAGGTAGTGTGTCCCTCATACTCAACAGTGACAGTACTAACTATCTACTGGCACACATTGCACATGAGTGGATTATAGTGACAGTGGTTGGCACTGAGCCACCATCACCCTCTCTTCACTCATCCTGTAATCCAGTAGTTCACAAGAGTGAAAGAACCAGAAGTACGAGGTCTACAGCTGGCATGTACCTCACAGTTCATATTGCAATAATAATACAAGTGCTATCATGGTTAGATTCACAATTTTGCTGCTCATTTAATTGTGGGAGGATAAGCACTCAGCCATGATAAATGTGTGGTAAACAATTTAAGAAAATAAACATTTTTCATTTGAAATTTTTGGACAAATCTAAAGACATTTGTTTGTGAATAGCCTAGACAAGTAAAGGATATGTTTTAACTGGACAGAACTTATCTCTCTCCCATTTAATTAATGTTGTAATTGTCTCATATGACCAACTTGACGTGTACGATTCCACCACAAAAGTTCACTAGAATATTAAATGTCAATAAATGGCAGCTTTATTTCCTCCATCCAAGTTACAGGTCACTAAAATACCTCTGAGATAAATTTCCATCAAAATACAAGACGGAACAATCTATTAATTTAATAATAATTTTTTTTTGTGTGTGGACAACTTCTTTTATAAGTGAATCAGAATACACTTACGTTTGTTTTCAAAAGAACCTAAAGAGGAAATGGCATGATAAAAAAATGACGATATGTAATCAGAATATTGAAAGAACAACAGAATCTCTGCATCCCCTGTGTCTGTCCTGAAAACAAGGAAAAACATTTACCATTTAATGAACATACATTAAGAGCATGTCATACATGCAGTACTAAAGTGGCAAATTAGTGCTCAAAGACACAGTATTTAGATTCACAATTGCCTGTAATGTGAGATAGGAAATTCACCTTCAAAAGGAATTGAGCTGCTAAAGATAAGGTGTTCATTTTTCAAGTTTTGTGAAAATCCAAATGATATAATTGGCACCCTAAGCATAATTCCGCCTATAATAATGGGTGAAGACCTTTTGGCAATTTGTTCTGTGGTTAAATTTTGCTTACGTGCAAATACATGTCCAGCTTACATCAACACATTGAAAGGAAACATCTGCTATATATACACATATATATATCCAGAATGTTGCAGGTTACCCTAGAGCCTTGGACGTGGAGATGCTTAGAGGAACTTGACCCATTTGAAGAAAGTGTAGCCTATGTGAACTTCATCAAGCAGCATATCAAGATCAGAAGCTTAATCTATTAGTCTCTGGGCTGGTTAGTTAAGGAGAATTTTTTTCTGGATATGAAAGATGTGAAATGGAAGGAAAGCAAACCTAGGTACCATTTCCAGGTTTCACTCTCAAAGATTGTAGTCTCCCGAAGGGAGAACGTCTCAACGCCTTTAGATTTGATCTTTAGATTTAAGATCTAGCTTCAGGCATGACTGCTATGACTGAACGCAAACCAGCAGTTATAGTAAGCTTGTGATGGTAAATTTACTTTACAATTTATAAAGATTTGTGGGCTTCAGCTCAACCTGTCACATCCTGCTGATCTCTGCAGTTTCTGACATTCCTGACACACTCACTGTGAATCATCCTTAAATCTTATTATGGCTCAGTCGGTGGCATCCCTTGCCTCTGGGTCAGAAGAGTGAGAGTTTCAGGCTCACACGAGGATTGAGCTCATAATCTAGGCTGATCCTGAGGGAGCACTGCACTTTGGAGTTCATGCCATTTAGATGAGATGTTAACACGAGATCCCATCTGCCTGTTTTGGTGATTTAGGTGAATGCTTAGAGATCCCATGGTACTATTTTAAAGAAGAGCCAGTCAATATTCCTCATCCAAATTCAATAAAAACAGATTCATTGACCATTTGTCTCAATGCTGTTCATAGGATGTTGCTGGGACAGATTAGCTGTCATGCTTTCCTCCATAACACCAGTGTCAGACTTTAAAGTAACAAATTCACATGTTTAAAGAGCTTCCTCTAACAAATATGTGATTAATAATCATTGAGTACATAGATAATAAGATTTAATCTGGATACCTGCAAGGCCAAGTCACAGATACAAACTAAATTCCTCCATATTACAAGGATAGTTGGCAAATATCAACAGACAAGATTTGAAATCAACTATTTTTTCCAAGTCCTTTGGACAGAAGCATTTCTCAGAAAGGAAGACCATTTGGCTACAACTTAACATCCATCATCTGCTTGTGATTCTCGTCTCACCTGATTGTTCAGCACCCCCCGTTCTCCTGCCTCCCCAACTAAGGAATTTCACCATCTACTTTTGCATCTTTATACTTTCAGATATCTGTGCTCTCTTCCCCATCCTCTTCAGCAACCCACCCTTGCCTCGGGTACCAAGTCAGCTGTGTAAAGCACTTTGAGACATCCTCCCGATATTTAAGGCACCACAAAAATGTGAACTGCTTGATGCATTTGATATAGCATTTTTCATGTCGGAGGGATGCCTCAAAGAGACCATAAGACATAGGAGCAGGAATAGGCCATTCGGCCCCTCGAGCTTGCCCCGCCATTTAATAAGATCATGGCTGATCTTCTAACCTAATTCCATTTACCCGCCCTATGACCATATCCCTTAATCCCTCTATCCTTTAGAAATCTATCAACCTTAGTCTTGAATATGTTCAAGGACTGAGCATCCACAGCCTTCTGGGGTAGAGAATTCCACAAATTCACTACCCTCTGAGTGAAGAAATGTTTCCTCAACTCAGTTCGAAAAGGCTGACCCTTAATCTTAAGACTATGACCCCTAGTTTTAGATTCTCCAACCAGGGGAAACAATTTCATGGCATCTACCCTGTCAAGACCTTTAAGAATCCTATAGGTTTTTACAAGATCACCTCTAATTCTTCTATATTCTAGAGAATATAGGCCTAGTTTACTCAACCTATCCTCATAAGTCAACCCTCTCATCCCAGGAAATAACCTAATGAATCTACTCTGCACCACCTCTAAGGTTAGTATGTCCTTTCTTAAATAAGGAGACCAAAACTGTACACGATATTCTAGGTGCGGTCTCACCCAGGCCTTATACAACTGCAGCAAGACGTCCCTACTCTTGTACTCTAGCCCTTTTTCAACGAACGGCAACATGGCATTAGCCTCCCTATTTGCTTGCTGTACCTGCATACTAACGTTTTGTGACTGGTGTACAAGGACACCCAAATCTTTTTGAACACTAACACTACCTAGTCTCTCCCCTTCTAGAAAATAATCTGCTTTTCTATTTTTACTACCTAGGTGAATAACTTCAAACTTCCCCACGTTATA